AACCACTTTTCAAGGTTTCATGAGAGGCCTTCGATAAGTTGAAAAACAAGGTAGTACGAATTACACGTAGGTTAAGCCGACAATTTTTAAAGATGGCGAAATATTAGTTTTTTGGGGCTTCAAAAATATTATATCAAAACTATTTGAGAAGATAGAATAAAGCTGCGTTTTTATACAATTGTGAAAAGTTATAATTCTCTAATTTCTAACTTACTCAAGATATTGAAAACTAATCAATGTCACTGGTTTTTCTCTCTAGAGCAACATTTCTCAAGTTGAGACACATAAGGTGCTGTGAAAAACGCAATCATATTCTACAAAAGAGTTGTAGAAACCCATCTTATTATCGACTTCGAATGGCGAAATGTTATCCTGCATTATACCTTGAATCGCCCTCGGCTTCAATATTAAAAATATCTCGACGTCTAAAAGCCTACAATAGACCAAAAATATAGATGTCCCTAGATTTCTGCGAAGTCTGAGTGAATCTTCTACTATTACGCGAGGGCTAAACTTTTGTTCGAAACTAAAAATAGCTAAAGCTTGAAACTATGAACACGTCTATGCACCAAAGTTTACTTTTGAAAAGTCAGTTAAAAACTTTTTTTATTCCATTTTTTTCATAATTTTCGAGTTATCTTTTAGCTTTTTAGTTAACTATGGTTCCATTCACATTCTCATTAGAAAAAGAAAAATACAGTTCTCAGAGTGTTGAAGTGTTTCTATGTCAAATTGAATAACGTATTTAGTAGCCTATAATATTGTGCTTTTAATCAACTAAAAGGAATCTTTTTAAAAAGGTATACACAATAAAAAATACATGAACTTTATTTATCACTACCGGCGTAGTTCACTTTGAAAGTGAATGAAAAAAAGTGACATAAATTTTTAGTATTTGACTTTAGACAATACCAAAAGAACTAATTTTAGCCCTTCTAATGTGCCGGAACTGACGGGAATATTTTTTCATTTGAGAATTGTGAAAACTATGATCATGGCTGTATTTTTTGTTGAAATCGTACAAATGAGATGCAAAGATCTTCAGATGTTTTCATCTGTTTTTATTAGTTACAGAATCTTACTGGTTGACGCTTTTTTTTATTAATGTATGATTTAGTTAGAAAGATTAAGAAACACTTGATTATCTTACTCGTCAGTAGCAAGGATTGCAGTGGTCATTGTCTCATCGATTGTTGTTCCTGTAAAAATTACCTTAATAAAAATTAGTCGTGAATGATATAAAATACTATAATTTTTCAAAAAATAGCTTACAGGAGATTCCGTCGTATCAGTATTAGATTGTGTCGATGATGAGGATAAATCGTCTAAATAATAATGTAGGGTTGATGTTAAGTTAAAAAAATTGATTTTTATAATATATGCATACATACCAGTACAACGTCCTTCTTCAATGGATATTTCATCTAATGCTATATACAATATTCCTGTACCAGTTGGACGTTGAAGATCGAAATAAAGCTACAAAAATGAAACAAAATGTTGTAGTTGTCTTTGAGAACTTTTTTGATATTAAAATAGTTTGATGTCTAATATATTTACTCTATTATCTTGTAAATCTACGGATTCAAATGTTTTATATTGGTAATTCCAACCATTTGTATTCACCGGAACATAGGTTACTTGATCAATTGTTGTATTTCCATTAGCAGATACTATCCGTGCTGTTATGCTCAAACCGGACTGACTGTTCGTTAAGTAATAATAATATCGAAGACATTGTGTCACAGTCGTACTAGGTTTATCAACAGATATATACCATGATCTACTTAATCCACTTGTCAGCGCTAGACTGATAAATCGACCTGTAATAAAATGGTGCTATATGTTTATATTAGCTCATAAATAAAGGATTTCTCAGAATATCAGAATCATTTAGGAAAAGTTCAAATAACAATATTAATCTACTTTTACTCATTTCTTTACTAAATCTCCCGTTATATGAAAGTTCCTTTTCAAATTTTTATGATAACGATGATTGCTAAGAAATTAAAGAAATAGTCAAATGAATACAAATCATATTTTTGTCGGCAATCGCACTGTTAAAAAATCCTCGTTCTTTTGTATAAAAGAAAAACGTTGTACGCCAGTCTTGTGATACGATCACATACGCGTTTTGTTATTTTTTTTACCATCTCATTAGTCTGATTTTTTTGTTTTAATTACCTGGTTGGCAGGTTTGTCTTGTTCCATCTACTGTTTCACACTCTAATGCACTAAACGTTCTGTAGCAAAAATGCAACGAGACATTGGTGCCACTGATCGTTTGATAGAAAGGTATTTTACAAGGAGAACCACCTAGGGTAGTATTCTCTAGGAAAAAAAGATATTATATAGATAAGAATTATAGTTGTTTATTACTATAAACATGTTTTGTTTACCGCTTATAATATTACTTACTTATTGAATTTACATCGGATGACGGTTGAACCATGTTCACTACACTATTTGAACCAACAACAGGATTTACTGTTCCTGTTGGTACTGCTGATACTATACAAGGACTTTGCGTGTTCAGATCAAAGTTGCAGGAGAGCAATGTATCGCATCCTACATTTGTAAATATTGTAGCTAAAATGCATAGACATATGAAATAGATTGTCCTCGTAACCTAAAACTGAATATTTTCATAAAAATTTTATAATTACATATGAAAATGTTCAAAATTAAAATGGTTTTAAACGATTTACTTATACAATATGTTTAAGATGAACTTAAGAATGCATAAAATTTGTAAAAAAGCAACTTACTTAAAATAACAACAATTATCTTGGTTTTAATTGAGACCATATTGATGGTGATAACAATGTAATGATGATTTTTTGAAAATGCTTTTTCACTTTTTTTTTAGTCTTCTGAAACAATGATTATTTATCTTCTAATATATTTCAATAGAATGTTACTATGTAGACGACTCACTGTTGCTATTATTATTGAAATCATTCATATGACACTATATTGTTGTAGTAACAGAAGGATGATGATGATGAGATAAGATAATATAATATGTCATATTTTAATGAAGATATGCGTTTATGTAGGCATTATATACACGTTTTCAAGTAGTAGGTGACAGTATAGTCTTTTTCATTCTTTTATTCTTTCGTTTTTTCGTAAATTTTGAGACAGATAAATGAGCAAGGACATGAAATTTTAATTGTACTTTACCTTTGAAATATACTGGCTCATATACCTATTGTTCTTTTTCTCTTTAAAGTAAAAAATTAATAATTTTTTTCTGAGAAAAAAACATTAGTATTAATGCATATATATGTATTTACTTGTGAACTTATTCACAGAAATAAATAAAAAAATGAGCATATATTTAGTACTACTACCATAATTAATTTGTTTTTTTTTCATAAATCATTGTTAATTTATAATATAAATTACGTTTAACCATTGAATAGTTACGTTTATCCATTATGGAAAATGAAATAGAATATATGAGAGAAATAATAGCATATCGACTAGATCAACCGCTTTTTTAAAGACAAAAGTTCGTTATGATTGTCAAACTGGAAGAGCTAGAGAGTTTATGTTTCTTCTATTTTGTAACTTTACAAAAAATGTAAGACGATAGCCTACCTAATCAGTGGAAAAATATTTTCAATAATTTGTAAAATAGACAACAATTTGTATTTCAAAAATAGTATTAGTAATCTGACAGTTTTAAACTTATTTCTTAAATGTTTAGTCGGAGACTTCGACCTTAACGGTTCATTGTCGACCATAAAGATAAAATGCAGCATACAACTAGAATGCAATTGTGGTTTGCACAATTTGCGATGTCGACAGACGTTGTATGTGCTGAATAATGACAAAAAGCGCTGCAACAGTAGAAAAGTTCATAATAACTCTTTTCAACATAACAGACAGCAGTATACATGTATTAGAGTAAAATCTGTCGTAGATGTAGACCTAGAAGAAAGAAACATTAATTCTTTGCGTAATTAAGGCTAAGCTATTGTTTGTTTCTTCTTCCATCAGATACCTAAAAGAGATATCTTATAATATTATGGTAGTGAATTTATCTTTTTTCCGCTTTCTTTTTCCTAATATTCCTAACAATCTCAACTATCAATAACTTGATGACTTCGTATACTGATCAACGAATCTTCTTTTTCTTCTTGTCTTTTCTCAACAAAGAAATAGACAATTTATTTTGTTCTCAAAGTTTTCCTTAAAAAAAATGGCGCCGACAACAAAATGTATGAAAAACTTCTACTCCAAAATATATTTTCCATTACTTTCTTCCATCTTACGACGCAGAATGTGAATCACTGCTCGAAAAATGAATAAGCATCGGTTAACCTTGAGTATATCAAGAACAATATCCCGTTTTTAGAACTTTTCTAAGTAGCGTAGTTCTCTATATCATGAGGCGCACATTTTACACAAAATAACGACCAAAGAAAAAAAAACATTTTTCTCATTAAAAACAGATAATGTCTGTCGACATAAAAACATTTCCCTTTGACTTGTCACTAATTGTCGGTTGCGTGACTAGAATACCTATTTCTTTATCATGAATTCGTTTTATAGAAGGACGATGCTTTTACCGTGTGCACGACGCAGCCGTTATCATCAGTCCATTTTAATATGTACTATTAGTTGAAGTAGGTTTATATGCCTTTGATAGATGAACACCAAGTTTCGGAGCATATTCGTTGTGTGAGTGAATCAACTTCATTTTATTTGAGTACACGCGTTCTTTCGACAACTATATGTTTTTCGTATGCGTTGTTTGCCGTATGTGATCTAATACAAAAGCTCGGATTTTAATTCTTTCGATATATTTCGTACTGAATCCATTCCTTATTCTTCATGCAACGTCTCGTAGTCGTCTAACCGTTTTTCTATAATGGATTTTATGCGACAGTTAACTTTTTACTTCTTTTAGTAGAGGATTCTTAATACTACATTTTCTTCACACAAAATCGGACGTTTACCAGATGGTGGTATATACCCCATGTTCACCTTTTTTTTGCGATACCGACTTGACAAAAGCAGATGATACCTTTGCGATTGTGACCAAATGTATTCAGATTCTCTTCTAGTTGAGCGGACTAAGTGGGGGCTGACCAAAAATCAAAATAAGGAATATCCAAGTAAAAGCCAAACGACTTCTGAAGGTGATAGATATTTCTCATGTATTCTTTCACCTTTGGCTGCGTTTATGACTTCCACACATAGAAGAAATATTTACCGTCGTCATTAACTCTTATTTTTTTCTGTTCACATGTTATCATATCTATTCTAGACTGTGATCAAACGCAATCTTTCTTTTCTACTTTATTGTCATCTCTTATATTTTTGTCACAAACAAAAATGACCGTTGTCTTTTTTTTGCGGTCCCTAGCATGTAAATGTTGCCAAGCAGCAACTACTATATGATGTAGAAAAGAAAAAGCTTTGTGAACTCATGATGCTTTATCTTTCAAAAAACAAAAATTATATGAGAACGTATGATCTTAAAATTACAGCGTCTCAATGAATAATTCTTATCGCATCACAAATACCAACATTCATCTAAAAGACAGAATGTCATACTCTTTACAAATCTTTTCTCACAAAGCACATAAACTTCTGACCGTTTTATAGGAAAGGCTTTTACTACCTACGCTGTATAAAATAATTACGGTAAAAAGTGGAAGAAAACAGAAAAATGCAGGATCCACAATATCCCGTATCGTGATGTTTATTCTGGGATATTCTACCATATTGTGAGCAAAATTTTAGCAGAATTCCTATTATGTCTCACAATATGACACAGTTTTGTGCAAAATTGTAAACTGTTACATCATTTTGCACGATTGTGAGACATAATAAGAATTTTACTAAAACTTTACTCACAATATGGTAGAATATCCCAGAATATACATCACGATATGGGATATTGTGGATCCTGCGTTTTTCTGTTTTCTTCCACTTTTTACCGTAATTATTTTTTACAGTGTAGACGTTAGTTAAAAAGTTGCTAAAATTCTTGCATTTCCGATCTGCCTGTTTTCTGTGCTAACGCCGTAGAATATGCATATAAACCGATGTTATGTAAAAGGATTGATAATAAGAGAAAATGAAGGCTGTGACATACTGTGAACTGTCTTACCATATAAGTACAAAATAATCTCGATACGAGAAAAATGGTCATAAATATTGTACAAAATGTTATAGACGAAACGTAAAAAACATGCGAAAATTGTTAAAAACAGAAGATGTTTTTCACTTTTTATTTGTTTACTTTGCCAAGGCTAACCGTACCAAAACAAACAGGGGTGTCACAGAAGTGTGCATCTTCCTGTCGAGATACACGCAAACGAAACAACGCAAGCGAAGTCATAATAGAGAGAAAAGCAACAGGAGTTATAAAAATTGGGAAAATTATGTAAGTTATAGAAAAGATGAAGTATGAAAGAACGATTGTATATGCTTACCTTACAAAACAAAATTCGATGCAGCATCGCAAAAAAAAATTGATTGGCATCGGCGATGCGCACTGCACTGTAAAAAATAGTCGTAGATTAATAAACTATCAAAAAGAGTCTATTGAGACCAATAAATCTTTTAAAAACCGCTTTTCGGTTTTTTTAGATCCAAAAAACTAAAATGCGTTCGTGACAGATACAAAATAAAAAACCCTTTTCAGTTTTTTGTCGAATCTAAAAAACTATCTAAAAAACTGAAGAGTTTTTTTTGCTGGTATTTTAAACTCGGCAAAAAAAAAATTTCGGTTTTTTTGGATCTAGAAAAACCGAAAAGCGTTTTTTAAAAGGTTTATTGGTCTCAATAAACCCTTTTTGATAGTTTATTAATCTACGACTATTTTTTACAGTGTGGCGCGTGTGTACTGTATGTGTACTGTTGACGTTGGAAGTGATGAAAGTTCGGGAAAAAGGAAAGCTCTTGGAAAAAAGC